GGCTGAACATGCTTCTAAATCCATTCTAACGTGTGCTCAGCTGATATCCGGGTCTTGTTGCTCGACAGCCTACGAAGAGCGAAATACGCCGACACCTGTAGTTGCTGACAGAGGATTGTAATGCATGTGCCAAGGTTTGACAGTATTTGTCACTTACATCAACATGATGGTGCGTACATGTCAGGCAGTGATAATGAACCTTATGCTGAAGTGTAAATATGTGAATATTGGAACAGATACAGAAAGAATATTGATGCATGTGTTACATTTTCACAAAAGCTGCTGCGTGTTGTATTTTACAAGTCTGGCACAGAAAATAGCACAGTGTGTGTAAGCGCCATGTTGTGCTGCATGTACTGTACATGTGTGATTTGTATTGTATGTGATAAGTAGTTAAAGTAGTCCCTCTATAGTAGAGGGATGAATCAGTCGGGGATCTAGAACTGTTCTATATCAGGGGCGGTATGAGGTACAATTTTATACAGAGGGGCCAATTATATGTCCTACATCCATGTACATCTCTCATTCAGTAAGGTGCATGATCAATTCATTCCTTGTTCACTTTTAGCTCTACAGCTTTGAGCAAAGCCACTGAATATATTTAAAAAATTGTTCCTTGTTCAGGCCCATTGTGTTCTTCAAAAAAGCGTAGAGAATAAAAACATCTTAACAAATGATCATATTAATTTTTAGTATTATTAGTAAGTGAGTAAAAAAAAAAGAGGAATGACTGGACGGGGGCACCTTAGGGGCCAATCAGAATTCAGCTGCGGCCATTGCACCCCTGGCTCTCCCCCTGGATCCACTTCCTTTTTTTTTCATCTTTGCATCAAAAGTATGTAAAGAAATTGGATGTGCAGGCTCCCTTGGTTTCAAACCCGGGGAGTTAATATACTGTAAGTTTGTCACAGTCTATAACATCATCAAATTGTTTCAGATATTAGGAAGTTAATGTATCATACATGGTGCTTCTATGAGGCTGAAATTTCATTTTCTGCAAAACCATTGTCATGCTTTCACAGCTTTCTTGTTTGTTATGAATTAACAAAATGCTCAAAATGGTATCTGAGAGATGACATATACAGGACACACTTCTGCATGTTTGTTTGGCTGTATTCGCAGGTGTATGGATAATTTGCTGCATAATGCACATGATACAGACCGTTAAAAAAATTCTCTTCTGTAATTATTCCATTACATCTGTAATTTCATTAACCCGACTTCGCTTAAAACGGGAGAAGACTGTCAGAGGTAATTAAAAGATAAGGTGAACAGTACCGTCTGCTTTGCCCGAGCTACATTAAGACGCTTAGCTTCTGTAGTCAGAGCGTAATATCTCCTCAGCACGCTCGCCTGCACACACACAGAGCGGCACACGCGACACACGGACAGAGGTGCTCTCCCACCTGCCAGCAGACCCCTCGCAGACATGTGCACTGAAGGGAGATGTGTTGCAGTTCCCATGGCGTCCGGCTGCTGAGATATGAAATGTGACGGGTGCACAATGGTTGTCAACATGAATGACTCATAAACAAGCAAAACATTAGGACAGCCTACACCACGGTGTTCATTTTTTTTTGCAGGGATTGAGGAGGAGGCCCGACACCATCTCGAACACCACTTCTCACTTCCTCTCCTCTTTGCGTCGCATCTACGTGGGCTGGAGGAATAATCTCGCTCCAGTAAACCATCACAAACACATGGATCATCTCGACTCGTTGCCGCTGTGTTTTGCGCTCGCTTTGTTTGACCCTCGAGCTGATTATAAACAACACGCGATATTCTTTTCACAAAAACACACAGACAAAAGTGTGATTTATTTATTAATTGATTCATTATTTATGGGGACGCTGTGATTTAAGTTACAGTAAAGCTGCAGGGGGTTCTGCTGACTGACTCGAAGCATTAAACACATCTGTATTTGTTCAGACTGGGGACATGATTGGAAGAAAAAATAATGCTACTCTTGCAGCAGTGGTGCTGCTGCTAGTAATTTCAGGGGGAAAAAAACAACTCTTGGTCTGCTGAGGCAGTTTTGCAGCTGTACAGCCAGTATAACAAGTACATCTATGGATGTATAATGAGTGCAGATGGGGAGTTTTAAAGAGACTGACACCCTGAGTATTGCTACAGCTACTCCACCCTCCAGCTGCAAGGATGAGGAACATAAAAAAGAGCAGATTAGAGGAGAATGGTGGATCAACTTCATCAGTTAATTAAACTCTATTGCAGCTTGATGAGCAATTAATCAAGGCAGCGTGCCGAGTGTCAGGCAGGGCTGAGTTCTTCGGGTACGGTGTGTGTGTGTGTGTGTGTGTGTGCGTGTGCGTGTGCGTGCGTGCATGTGTGTGTTCTCCCAGGGGGGCAGCCTTGTGGGGAACAGCACTTAGCAAGTGAGCAGCCCCAAAATTGTACAGGGTGTGATGGCCTGGGTTTGTATAAGCAGCTATCAATCAGTCCCTGACATACATGTAAGCTTGCACCCTATTAGAGGGCCAGGATTAGTCTCCTCTCAGTGCTCTAACTAACAACTTGTCTAAGTAGATTGAATCCCAGGAAGTGATGAGATGTATTGGATTATTATTGAGAAAAAAAAATGATATCGGTGATTCAAGCAAATGCCAGTTAATCTTGTTGACAAGGCAGAAACACGGGCTCGTCGAAAACTTAACTTTGTGTTTTCACCGCCTTAAGATTTAGCTCTTATCTCACATCTGACTCTTTCATCTACCTCTTCATCTCGTTAAAGAACAGGGCTTTTTTTATCCTATGGAAATTCAAGTTGGCAGTTTGTGACTAAATGCAGTAAATTTATTAACGAGACCACGGGGAACATTAAAAGTCAATTGAAGGAGGCTATTAAAAGCAGGATTTTAATTGGGTTGGTCCCTCCACTAAACCTTTTTTCTTCCACGTCTCTCTTTTTTTTTCTCCTCCAAGAGCAATGGCACTAAAAAAGTTCTCAGTGAATGTGCTCAGTGTGTGGTAGTCCTTGAAAGGCAGTTCCTCATATATATATCATGTAAAATCTGACTTTATATTAAAGCAAAAAAAGGGTTGTGTTGCTTTTGACTGTTCAGCCCTCAGCGGCTTCACACTAAAGAGTTTCAAGAGGTCAGATGCACAATGAGCACAAGGTTCTACTACGACACGAGCTTCTGCAGATCATCCTCTCGCCCATTCACATCGGAGACCCTGACACGAGCTGTATCCATCTCCTCTCAGCTTGGGTTATTCAGTGTTTACGCCCTCGAGCGCTCTGTAAATTGTGTTAGTACTGTAGCTTTAATGCATCAGTTTATATAATCTGTTGAAATTACATTACAAAGCATACAGTTGTCCTACTTTTGGTAACGTGGTGTGACACATTACAAATGGTTTTAATTGCACTTTAGCTTCTGGCTCTCGAGCTCGGCTCATTCCACACTTTGAGGGGAGCGGGCTCTGCGTGTACTGTACGAGCGTGCGCACGTGTGTGTGTCAGTTTGTGCGTATGGGAGAGTTTGAGAGAGAAAGAGAGAGAGAGATGGAGATGCAGTGTACTATTGGCTGTGCTGACTGGATAATAACATGCAGAGTGCTGCGCTGCCACAGTAGGTTGAGCCTCCAACCAGATGCTCCTTTCACTGCAGCTCATAAGCAGAAAGAGCGAGAGAGTGACTGCACCAACGTACGCACTCATCTCAGTCGGATTAAGCGGTAGGATTCAGGGACTTTGATTATGTAGTGGGGAAAAAAATGAAGCTTATTAGAGTAAATATCCATCACATGTTGATCTGAGAGGGACTCAGGCTAAATGGGTTCAAACTTCCATTAAAACGTTTTCTTTAAGTTTTCATGTAATGACGGCGGTTTGTGCTGCATATTCATAATTCAGCCTCACACAAACTGATTCTATGGTCCTCCTCTCGCTGAGCTTTAAAGCTACCTGAGGGGAGGTTTTTTAAGAGATGACGTAGGTTTGCTGAATGGGAGGCATGGAGGATTGGGAGTGTGTGTGTGTGTATGTGTGTGAGGGATGAATGACACACAGCACTGAAGCTCAAGGCCACGAACCATATAATTAATTGTATGGATGTTATGGACACAGTAAAGGACACAGGATGCCTGTTGCGGTTGTAATGTTTTTTTAGAGAATTTTTAAAAGAATCTCCAGGAGCAATGACACGTTCAAGAGCACATGTCTCTACAAACTCTCTGCCAGTCCAAGGCAATCACCTGTACATTGGAAATAACTTTATACATTGTATTGTATAAACATGGTGTTAAAAAACGTTCCTCAGGCAGAACATGATGTATGTTTGTACAGTATATGTGTTCATATAGGGCATGACAGATGTAAACACCATAGGAACACAGCAGCATAAAGAAAAGACGTTACAATGATGACTTAATGTTCAAATTCACTATTTTCTTCTTCACCACTGTATAAAGGACAGTTTAATGATGATTCTGACTTAAAATGCATAAAACATGTAACTGTTTTACTCATAGAAAAACAAGTACAGATTGAAATGACTTTCCCTCTGGACCCTCCCTTCTAATGGGTCCAGCATTTTATGTTTAAAATGGGCTCCAGGACAAAAAGCAGTGGCCATATGGTTTCTTTCATTAAGTTTGTGGTCCACTTTAAAAAGTGCAGTCCAGCTAATGTAGAGTAACTGTCTGCAGACTGAGTTCATGAACAAAGTTTGTGTAGTTCAAATATTTGTATTTATCTTTATCATCAAGGCAGATATCTTGTAATTAGTCCCTGGTGTAAATTGAAAAATAATGAATAAAAAAGTTTTCTCTTGACCTTTTAAAACTCAGGTTTTTAACAATTCAACGTTATTTTATGAAAAGTGTGGATGCATTTAGGGACTGTACAAAAAGTGGTAAATGGTTGAGAAGGAGGATGAATGTTTCACCCACCTCACTGTTATTCATTCAAATTTTAGGACGGTAATGTTTTATCATCACTAAATCCCTTTTCTCCTCTGTGTTCTTCTCTTTTGCAGGAAAAAGGAAACATTGCCGTTGTATTTAATGTCGGAACAGACGACATTAACATTGAGGAGACATCAAAGTTTGTAAATGACGGAAAGTACCATATAGTGAAGTTTACGAGGAGTGGGGGTAATGCCACTCTGCAGGTGGATGACCTGCCAGTCATTGAGCGCTACCCCACAGGTGAGTCAGCCACTCTGCCTTTAATTACACCTGCCACTGGTTTAAAAAGCGATAAAATGACCCAGAGATTATCAAGCCAACTGTTTCAGCCTTATCTCTGTCAGGATGTTTTACGTTGACTTGGCATGTGCTTTAATTGCTTTTTATGTTTCTGTTTCCAGCAGCTGTTAAAGAACAACACCGGTGTTGCTGAGTTGTTTTCTCATCTCCAATGTTTATCACATTCATTAATCAATACTCTTAAACAGCCCAGGTACACTCAAGAAACCTGTTTAAATATAAGGTGTCTTAAGGAGCAGCCACCCACCCTGTGTACATATGTGTTATACTCCCTATATACATAGGTAATCCTCCTACAGTAAGTCAAATCAATACGCTATTTACAGACAAATTAACACTTTTATTGTGGCAAGTAATTGTGTGCCAGTTCAGTATTTATTTATCTGCCAATACAAGAGATTGATTGAACTGAGGCACCAGAGTAGACAAACTTGCAATAACATTCAAGCTAAAGAATTACCTGAATTAATCTGCCGCTTATCTAGGATACCAAGTGAATAAGCTATGATATTTGATTTTTAACTTTTATATTAATTACTAACACACACCACAGCTACTTACAGACCAAAATGAGGCTAATTAAAGTTTGTTGCCATTAGTGTCCCGCTAAAAATTCAGCTTGTGTTGCACTTTTCATAAACATAAACATTGTTTACAAGTCAGTTGAATATTAATTCAACAATTACAGCTCTGTGTAATGAATATTTAGTAAATGAATATATATATATATATATATATATATATATATAAATAGCTCCTACACTATATGAGTGGAATTCTTTTGTACAGTACGATGATTAACGATACCTTCAATGTGATACCTTACAATACCTCATCACTCAATACAATACCTTTCAATAAAACAATACCTCAGGATGCCATTGGATACCTTACAATACCTAACAATACGATATGATACCTCTTGATACCTTACGATACGATACCTCACGATAACTCACAATATGATTTGATACAATACTTTCCGATAACTTACTATACGATACATTGCGATACCTTATGATGCCTAATGATGCCTTTTGATGCGATTGGATATGATACGTGATACTTGTCACCTTACACAGAGGACAGACAACAAGCAAGAGAAAATCATACATCTCATATGTTGTATTGGCACCTTCTTGGTTTTTCATAAATAATCCATGAAATCAACTTTGTGTGAAGAAGTGTTGATTCATTATGCGGGTGAATACAAGCTCTGTGTCCTGATATTTGCGAGAGAAAATATAAAGTAATCCACTGTTGGAAATGGGAAAACAACTCAGCAACACTGATACGTTTCTGCAGAATGTCAAGATGTTAGTCGTACGACGGCTCGCACAAAGAATTTAAATGCCACTGCTTGTGTTTTCTGAAATTGTTAACTTTCCTAACTGCTTGAAGGCTTTGACAAAAGCTTCAAAGGATTAAAGGAGTTTGAATGTGGATGTTCAAAACATAAAAAACAGAATTACTGCATTTACAAGATTGAAAGCTGTTTATATTCCAACTTGCATAAGATGAGTGGGCAATGGGACAAACAGGACAAATTCAACCTGTCTCTCCCCTTTTTGCATAATGTTTGGTGACCTTTTTAGCTATGACCAGTGCATTCATCCAAATGAAAGAGGGTTTTATGACTGGGACTCAATCCTCGCCGCTTGCCTCAGGTGGGATGGGGAAGCTAATGGCTTTTGACATGTCGCGGACATGGTAGAATGCACAGCAGGGTTAAATGCCGGGATGCGAACATCTCAGTCTTCAAACGACACACACCCTCAGTCCCAAAACATATGATACACACAGATGTGCTGCTCATAAACAGGATAAAGTCTGCGAAAACAGATTTTTAATCGTTCAGTGGATGATTTAATGCACAGCAATGGACGGAGAACTGTTTATCTAATGTTTGGTGTTAACATATTGTAAGAGGCAAAGATAAATCTGCAACATATCAACGATTTTTTTGTTGTTTTTAAATCTTAAGAAACTTTAATAATATAAAACAATTTCCTCTCATGAGAAATGCTGAGTTATAAATGCCGCAGGGGGGAAAGTGACCAATCTCATCCCCACTAATCATGCATCAGTGACAATGCCAATCCAGCTACCTTATTAGGCTCATTGCAGACTAATTACATCTTATCACAAACACCGCGCAGTTCCTCCCCTTGCCCCCCCCCCCAGCACACAAAGCCATTATTCTCTCAGCTCGCCTGTAGTTTGATTAGTATCCATGTATGCCTCTAACGCACTCATAATAGCAGCCCTCAGCCACTTTTAGGCCACTCACAGATCAACAGTGATTATAATAGGAGTAGACAGCAAAGATAAAAATGATGGCTGGAGAGTGAGAAAGACAGAGAGGAGGAGATTATATGGGAGGGTGCAATCATTCTCAAAGCAAAGAAATAATTGCTTCACCAGGGCCTATATTGCTGTCCTGGTAATCTCATTAAAAAGTCTCGTACTACATACTTATGGGCCATTAAAAGTCTTTAGCACAATTATTAGAATCTAAAATATAAAACACACACGCACATAACTAGGTCTCTGAATGTTGTAGTTGAGCTCTCCCTCTTTTATTCTTGTCCTGCTTTCATTCTGCAGCACACACAAAAGACTGGGCAGCATCAAAAAAAAAAAAAGCAAGCCCCCTTCTCCAGAGCCTTGGCCATGGAAGTAATACCATCACAATGGTGCTGCCAGGCCCGCAGGGTACAGTGCAGTATCCTATCGGAACACCCGATGAACACACACAGCTAACAAAGATAATGTAGAGGTCCCTGGCCTTATTCTTTTACTGTTATCAGAGCGTGATGCACTTACAGAGCTCGCCGTCTCTCACTCCACTCCCCTCCGCTCCCCATTCCCTCCCACTCTGTCCTTTTTACCTCTATCTGTCCGACCCTGCCCCTTCTGTCAATCTCACCCTCCGTCCTGTTTTTCTCCACCTCGCTGTGTGGTGTCTGAGATGTGGGACACAAGAGGAGGAGGTTTGGCTTCATCCATCGATGCTCCATGCTACCTCCTCTTATGCCCCCCCCCCGGGTTATCCATGAGCCTTTTCAGCCTATTGTGCAAGCAGTCATTACTGAGCATGCTTTGAAAAGGTGCAATGACTGCTACAGTGAGAAAAAAGGAGCAAAATAATAAAAAATAATAGCGAGATTTGTGTAGGTTCCTATTTTTAATTCCCCCGGCTCTGTGAACAGAGGAAGCATTTGCATATTTGTTCATTTAATGTGGGAGTGTCCTGGGGCTTGTAATGAGATAAAGCTCCCACCTTATCTGACCACTTTATTAACAAAAAAGAAAACAAGTGAGTGAGGGCAAAGCGGGTCGACTGGGCGGCTCCGCTGAATCGCTGCTGTCTGGCAGAGGAGATAAGCCAGGCGGTCCCGACACCAAACCAAATCACCACTCGGCAGCAGGCGCAGGCTCCGCTCGCAGGCAGGATGAATGCGGCTCTGCTGCCGCTGCATCGAAGCCCAGGGAGTAGCATTGTTTAACACTCCGTTGTCCCACTGTGGGGATCAATACATGATCAGACCTTGATTATGTCCACACTTAATTAACCTCAGTAAAAGCATGGAGTGAGAGTGCCACGGGGTGCAGAGCCAGACAGATCAAGCACAACTGTCTTTGAAAATGGAGCATGTTCTTGCAAAAAAGTACAGTAGCACACAGTAGTGTGTGAAGATAAGTGTCGTTACTGTTACAAATGTTTGACAGCATCCAGACATCCACACCGTGTTTACTGTTTATTATAACTGTCAAGAAAGTAGGAGAAGGCACGCACACACATACATATATATGTTGTGAGTGTGTATAATTGAGGCTACATTAATTAGGTAATTTCCCCTGATTAACGATGAATATATCAAGAAAGCCATTACCATTGTAATGACAGTTGCTCTTCTTCAGTGGAAGCTCGGGTGTCCTCGCTGTCCTCCCAACAGCTGCAGGCTAAATGTTCTCCAGAGCCCAGTTTGACGCTGACCTCTCCTCTGATGAGGTGTCGCAGTAGCAGGAAACATGGAGCGGTGACACAACTAACACCCCATGACTGACAAATGGAGGTGAGGGGAATTAACTGAGCCCACAACTGCTCCATGACACCAGCAATCAATGGATTATTCATTGATTTAACACATTCAGAATAGAAAGACGCACAAAGGTGTGTCTGTTTGTTCTTGTGTTGATGTTGTTGTTGTGAGTAATACTTCCACTGTGCACAGAGATAAAGTGAATCAGGTGGTGCAGAGCTCTGCACAGGGGGAATACAGTGTGTGTTTAACACCAGGCGGTGTGCAGACGTTCCATAAGCCTAAAGCACCTGGAGGCTGCTGTGTTTTCAATCCACATACCTGGGAGTAGTTTGGCTTTCTAACTTGTAGCATAAATTAAATATACATCTCCATAATTTCCACTTATAATGTCCATCCACTGAATTTAAGTCTTTAAAGATTAATTAATTGTTGTAGTTTATTCCTCTCTGCCTTAGAGCTCATTCTTGTCTTAACACAATTAAAAACACAGAAATGAGACACTTGTTCTGTCATTGTGATGAACATTTAGTTAATTTATACCAATCTTACACCATACTACCTGAAATACTCCCCTGAGCACCAAATCTATATTCACATGCAGCTGAAAGGAGGTCCCCAGCTCATGTTTGAGCTACTTTTGTTGAAAAACTGCAGTCTTCAACCTTACTTACTTACTAATTATATATTTGTGAGCCATAAAAGCTTCGTCCTTTACATCATTAATGAGTAGAAGTCTAAGTTTGGGTGAGTTTGACATGAAATCTGAAAACTTCTGACCATTGTATGTTGAAAATAATGACCATATGCAGGTTTAGAATTTATAAAATGACTTGATGAATGGTACGAAACCACAAAAATGTGAAAAAGTCTTTATCAATCGCAGGGAAGGTATCACTCCGGATGATGAGACGTTCTTTTTGTGTCTCCCTAACATTTGGAGATTAACGTCACATAATATACGTTGTGTCCCTGTGTGTCTTTGTTGTAATGCAGAATGTATCTCTGTGCGGAGGAAGAAGTGTTCCACTAAATCTCCTTCACAAGCCTTTGAGCTCCAACCGGGCACAATCAACTGCAGTCAATTTCCATGAGCGGCACAGACAAGCTTTAAAAACCCCTCCTCCCTGCGTATCTGATCTTCTACAGTAATTCAAGCTGATGCCATTAAAAAAATATATTTTTATGTCTTCTTACCTCCAAGACCTTTCATCAGCCCAACTGTGCTTCTGTTACAAGGTTACCTCCTTTCTTTCATGTCTGCGTGATCCTTTCCTCTTGGAAGCGATTCCTCGCCACTTCCTCCAAATCGTTGTTAGCTACCTGATCTTTTATCTGCCAGAACTGAATTAATATAGTTGATGGGACAAACATTGTCAATCTGCCGGAAGAATGGAGCAGACTGAATTCAATCTCGTCAGACAATGCCACGGGGAAAACCACTCAGAGACAGTGGCACTTTGCTGAAAGTCTTCCGTTCTGGAGAGGTTATTGGCCTTGACAAAAGGGGTGATGCAGAGTTTGCCCTCATTAATGCCAAAGTGCCCCGACAGTCTCGGAATGGAGCTTTTTTCTGTAGCTGCTCTTTCTCTCGACACTTATTTGGTTTATTCACTAACTACTGTTGAGAAGCTGCGTCAGTGTGCATCGCTCAAACTTTTCCTTCTTTACAACTTGTAGCTTTTGTCAAAGCCTCATTAATCAAGAGTTCACTGTGATTGTACTTCCTCAGATTTTGTCTTCTGAATAGATGCTCTGGATGTATATACTGTGTTAACTGTTGCATTGCAATCAGCTTAATATTTCTGGTCAATTAGGCTGTTTATAAATGGGGTGGGCATTTGTAATATGTAAAGTTAAATTGTTTTATCCTTTAAACCATAAAAGGTTGATTCAATAATAAATTTAAATGGTGTTCTTTTGTATATAACTAGTTTAAAAGCCAGTTAAAAAGATGTAGGGGGTAAAGATAAATGGGATGGGGATATTTGGGTAAAGCTTCTGTAATGGAAATGTTTAAAGTTGTGATTTGGGTTGGTTTATAACATAGTCCTATTAACCTAGATGAAATATTTGCGTGTTAATTGAGTTATTTTCGATTAATATAGGCCTAATTTTGTTGGCTAAAATAAAATAAAATGAATGAAGTTTGTTCAAATAATGTTTTTACGGTAAATATTGTTTTTTTAAATCTACAAAACGTTTTAAATATAAAAACAGTTGTGCAGTTGTATAGCTCCAGCATTAAGTATGAACATTTAACCTTTGACCTTACAGATTGTAACCAATGAAATGTCTCTTTAAACTTTAAAGGCAACAATGATAACGAACGCCTGGCGATTGCTAGACAGCGAATCCCATACCGACTTGGTCGAGTAGTTGACGAATGGCTACTCGACAAAGGTAAAATCACTGATTAAAACTTCAAATAAAATAATTTGATCATAACCAAGGTGTAGCACTATTTTGTAAATCATAAACTTAAAAAATAAATGTTCAGTAAAACCTTTAAAAACAAAATGATTTGAAGAGTTAAATTTAATTTGTTTTCATAATAATGTATTTATTTTCTAGTTGTCAGCTGTTTTAATACGTGTTTATTGTCAACTTAAGGTTAAAGGGACTGTAACTATATGAATCTAAATCCACTTCTTGAAGTAATATCATTATTAAAATGTCTATAAATTGCGGTAGCATTTTGCTGTAAACTTCTAAATGATAAATTTAAAAGTTATAGTTTAGTCATTCATTAGTCATAAGTGTTATTTGAAACACTTTTGAAACAGTACATTTACTGTACAGTAAAGTTCTTAGTCCTATTTGATGTATTCTGATTAAACTGCGAGCAATGATAAATAGTGTGCAATATGAATTGGCATCAGAATTCTGAGTCCCTTTAACAGACATTGTAAATATGTATAGGGCATTAGATCCAGGAACTGTAATATAAAACAAACTGAGTGCATGCTTTGTTTTTTATAGTTCAATAACTAATTCATATTTATCACTTAAAATGTGAAATGAGCCCTATCATTTCTATGTTTCATTTGTTTGTTTCAGATTTTGAGTTGAAAATGTTTTGTTGTGTTTGTTTGTTTTTGTTTTTCATGTGCCCAACTGCATTCATTCCTAATTTAGTTCTGTCTTGGTTTCTTTTGCTAAAAGGAGCAACAGTTTTAAATGTATAATAAGTGTCTCCTGGTTCCTGTGAGACCTTACATTACTACACAAGTTTAGTTCTCACACACGACTGTAGACATTTTAGATTTTTTTGCTGTGAATTGTGACATTTGAAGTAAAAAATACAGGATGATATAAATCAAGCAATAATGGAACATGCACTTTTATTTAGAAAGATGTTTAACTGTATGTGTTGTTTTATTTATTACTCACTTCCCTGCAAACAGTTTGTCCATTACTTTCAAGATGATGCTACCTCTTTTAGTGTAGTTAAATCTATAACCTTCCCATAACATTACTTCTTCTGATAAATCTTTTATTATTAGTAGTATTTTCGATCAGACTGCCATTTTAGCAAAGCTGCATTGATTTTTCTTAACCCTGCACTTTTATTCCATGTTTGTTCTTTTCCTCTCATCTCATCATTATAACTGCAATAAATTACCAGGGTTTGCTTCTACAACCTGTAATTTATTGCTCTCATTAGCCACTGGGCAAATAATCTGCCTTTCTGTCATTTTTTTTTCCTGTTCAGTAAAAGTGGCTGAGTCCACAGTTCAACATTCTTGTATATATGTAACGTTGTTTTCCCACAGGGCGGCAGCTCACAATCTTCAACAGCCAAACCACTATACAGATTGGGGGCTGGGAGCGAGACCGGAGTCGATCGTTTCAGGGCCAGCTCTCGGGCCTCTACTATAATGGCTTGAAGGTGTTCAACATGGCCGCAGAGGGGGATCCTAACATTAAGGTCCAGGGCAGCGTGCGGCTCGTGGGGGAGTCGCCTTCCTCCATCACGCCGCAGTCCAGCACAACGGCCAACCGCTCGGAGACGTCCACATCCATCATGGAGATCACCACCACCACGGCGTCCAGCAGGCGAGTCAAGCAGACGACGCCACGAGAGCCTCAGCAGGTGAGATCTGCTTTGAATGCTTCTATTCTATGAGACGTTCAAACGTGTCATTACTGTCTCCGCCTGATCCTTTTTGAAACTCTTACAAAGCCCAGCATGGAGCTAAGCACATCCTGGATTAACATAAGACATTTGATCATCACGCTCTTATAAGTGGAATAAGTGGAATATATATTTTTTATTATGTCACATCTTTCTTCTGCTTGAGTCCTCTGACATGAAATCTGAAAGAGAATAAATCCATCGTTCCACCCATTGGAGCAGCAGCACTGTGCACTGCTGAGCATTTTTCCACATGCACACACGCGCGCGTGTGTGTGTGTGTGTGTTGGAGTTATAGCCATCATCTAGTTCCTCCTTCATCTTCATCTTTATCTGTCCCGCACGAGGGGTGCGTGGCATCAGCAGGAGCATATTATTTCTCCAACGTCACAATGTGTGTCTCAACAATACAATACAAATGGTTTGTCCTATCAAATTAAATGGTGATCAGAGCACTGTTACACATTCACTGCCCAGAACAAAGACACTTCCTGTTACACCTTTTCGCTAAAAACAGCAGCAGCCATGGATTTTAAATCTGAAATGCCTTTAAGAAAATGCATTTGTGTTAAAGTTGAATATTAGACTGACTCTTGAAGGCTCTCACAGTGCAAATGTGATTTTAGGAGTTTTCTACACTTTCCACTTTATTTACCTGCCTGGTCGCTCTGGGAATTAGCTACATTGACAAAACTTCATTATGATCTAGGAATACGTGCAAACATCCTTTTGACTCATTTAGGTCACCAAGAAAGATTGTTTCTTTGAAAAGTTTTTTGATCACAACACAGATGGTAGTCACGATGTAGGAAAGGCCCTCACAAAACAAAAACAGGAGCATCATTGGCCCAAAGGAAATTGTCCTCCTGTGCAAACAATCAAATAAACAACCTCAGTGATAACAGAGACACGTGCTTTAAAGGTTCAGTGTGTAGAATTTAGTGACATCTAGTTGTGTGTTGCATGTTGCAGCTGAACACCCCTCACCTCACTCTCCCCTTCCAAACATGAAGGAGAACCTATGGCAGCCTTCAGTTGTCATAAAAACTCAAAAGTTGTTTAGTTTGTCCAGTCTGGGCAACCGTAAAAAAAACATGGCAGCCTCCATAGAGAGGACCTGCTCCCGATGTAGATATAAGGTATTTCAATTTAAAGGGCCCATTCTAGGTTAAAGAAAACAACAATTTGTACAATTTAGATGAAACACTCTAGTGAAAACATCACTTGGATTATTTTGGATTCATTTTCTGCCAATAGATCCCTTTCACCTAAATTTCACAAACTGGACCTTTAATTAATATGGAGCCGTAGATAACTTGTGGTAGTATTCACAGTTGATAAAATATTCATCACTTTACATGATAAGAAGTTCTCAAATAAGTGGTAATAGGATGTAAGGATGATGTAACTCAAAAACACAGAAACATTCAGGGAAAATGCATTCAAAGTTAAAATGTGTGTCAGAATTTATCACATTTTGTGAGTCAGCTGCAGGGGAAGCAGTAGCTTAAATGAAGCATAGGCGTTCACTAAAAAGAGCCTTTAATCAGAGCTTAATCAGCTTTTGCAAATATAGTTTCAAATCATTTTGGATTTAACTCATTTTGGATTAATCGGATTGGGTAAAGGGAGATTATAGTATCCTCTCGAGGGAGGGGGTGGGTTTTTGAACTTCATATTGAAAAATATACACACAATCAAGATTATTTGATTTTAAGTCTTTTTTTTGAGATATTAGTACTTTTTTCTGTCTTTATAGTTTCTCTGCAAGAAGCACCACTCACATCTCCCTTCATTTTATAGATTTAAAAACACAACTGTCTTCTTAGTGTAAAGCTGTGTTGTCCAGAAGTAACACCTATTTAAAAACCATTGGAATATTCAATATTACATGGTTATTTTCATGTTAGGAATATTGCTACCTTTATCTAATGAAAGCATTAAAAGTCAGAAATCCTGAACATTGATATATCTATGTAATTAGATCTAAAGTGCTAATATTACATTCAGTTTTTTCTTTAAATGTGTAATAAAGTTTTTTAAATATGTACAAAGTAAAAAAGACTTAAATCTTGTGCAGAGAGAGTTTAAATCATGAACCTGCACGTTAAGCTTTTATATGGATCTTTTATATGGATCCTTTTAAAAAGGATCAATTTTAGTTAAAGAACAGGGTTTTTTCATTTGGTTTAGCATACTGTTGAGCCCACACCTCATGTTATGAAATGACAAACTCCCACAGATTTCATCTCAACAGCAGTAAAGACTCCATGTTACTGTCTGTCTCTCCCTCTGTTACTGACCTGAGACCATCACAATAGTTTGCAAAGGGTCGGCAGATGCTGACAAATAATACAATCATAAATATTGATCCAGTGGAATGGTTTTCTCTGGGGCTCAGCATGGCTCCTGAACCGTTGCAAGGAGCGTGTAATGCAGGCGAAATATCAGACAATAGACTATAATTATATCCCAGCTCCATGCAGCGCTATAAATTGCCACCAGGGAGCCAGGTGATTGGCAGAAAGGAACAGCCTCGACAAGATGGATGCCCTTCTCTCTCTGGCCTTTTCATCTGGAGAAAGTGATATAAATGACCGTGACAATTTAAAAATGGTATGTTACAGGGGTACGCTATCTGCACAGGATTTTTACATCTATTACTTAATTTGTGCTTTGGATGGTTTCTGAAATTTGTATTTCTGACATTTTTCCTCTATGCTAATCAGACTCTGCTTCAACTGTTTTGTCAATAAGTGTTCACCTCGTAGCAATTATGTGCACAGCTATTGTTTTTGTGTACTTTTCAGTCTCATGAGTTTTTGGGAGGAACCCAAGGTTTACTTGTTTTAGAAGTTTACAACAAGGCTTCAGGTGCTGATACTTGTTTGAGACAGGTGTTGTATTTTCACATCATGTTGCAAGCTCACCTTGTGGAACATAAGGGCTGGGGAGGAGGAGAAGAGCCAAGGCTAACTGTGTTTAGGTGTTATCTAATGCATTCATACAGAAAAAAAAAGGTCACTGGATTAAAGAGTTGCGCGGCGATGTAGGCGGATAGATGAATGACGCATGAAAAAACGTGCACGTTGGGAGATGTCAGCGTGTTAGGGTTGATTCAACGTGACAGTCTTCCCACGGAGAGCTCCTGCGGTACGACATCGCTGTCTCAGGACACTGCACTTAGAACGGCGTCTGGACAATGTAAAAGGAGACGCTGCATTCACTGTCCTCTCTCTTGAATAGTCAGCGATTTCATCATTGTCCAGCTGTTCCATCTCCCCTCAGATGGCGGACGCAATTCAGTGAATGGTTTTATGGCCTAAGAGCCTTACATTAATAGGACATGTACATTTTCAATGTGGTTGGCCTCATCTGTACTGGAATGGCGAACACTGGCTCCATCATTGCTGAGGCTCGGTGAAATTGGTGCTATGGAAAACGTTTATGGGGATGTTGAACATAATAATAAAAATGTCTTAGCCCTGACATTTGGAGGTGATGACAACACAACAACACAGATAAATATATAAGTCCAGTTAAAGTAATTTGGCGAAAGCTCCTGTTGCTTTCAGTATCACTCCTTACAGTAACCTTGAAATGGCAGTGAAGGCATTTTCAGCGTCCATACTGGTATTCGTATCCAAATGTAAAAAGAAATGTGGGCCATGTAAATTTAAAAAGAAGAATTGATCCTTCAAATTAGATTAGAGCACTCAAATGTGGAAATGAATGAAGTGGGTTTAACAAATCAAGCACAATACTAAGACCTCCACCACCACCTCCCTCTTCTATCTTTGTATGTCAGGAGGAGCAGAACCTGTTTTATTGATATTTTTCCTCAACCTTCTACAACCTACCACCTAAATAATTTTGTTCAATCTGAATTAAGAGTGTTCTTTATTCTTTTGTCAGAGATAGAGTTACCATTGAAGCAACTACTGAACCTTTAATACAATGATGCAAACTCTGCTACAGAAGATGTCCAAAGGATTGCAATAGTATAAATAGATCCCTCAGCTGTGGATCAGGAGGTAGAGTGGGTCATCCACTAACCAGAGGGTCAGCGATTCGATCATAGACTCCCCAATTCCACACACTGGCAGTGAGTATGATTGATGTGTGATAGAGGAAGTGCTGCAAATGTATGAATGTGTGTCTGAATGGTAAAACCGTACTGTAAAGCACCCTCATGGATCATCAAGACTAGAGAAGAGCTATATAAGAATAGATCATTAACAATTTTATAATCTTCAATAATGAAGTCAGTATAACCAACAGTGAAAGCTGGTGACCTCCTTTAAATAAAAACACTATTCTTTATTGCTATGCAAGAAAAAGAAAAAGGTCAAAAGTCCGATACAATAAAAGTCATCCATGTGAATCCGGCTCAGTACAGGATTTGTCTTTTTGAGATGGTCCACTTATCTCCTGGAGGGTAGAGTCAGTGCTAATCATCATTAGTGTAATGATTTTAAAGGGTCTGAGGGGAGTCGACCGTCTCAGGTGTCCCATCAAAAAGTTCTGTAAATGCTCGACTGGAGTTATACTGTTATTGAATACTGAGGGCCTTGGCTTATGGGTAACATTAATGTCATTCTTCTCAAACCACTGGGTGTCCACTCATGCTTTATTAGGATGGTTATAATCGTAGAGCTTGCTAATAAAGAAATGCACCATGGGAAAACAAGCAGAATAGTCTGAATTTTTACTTTAAAGGTGTAGTGTGTAGAATTTTGTGATATCTAGTGTTGAAATTGCATGTTGCAGCTGGAGACCCCTCTTTTCCAAACATGAAAAAGAACTTGTAGAAGCCTTCAGTTGTCATAACAACTCAAAAGGTGTTTAGTTTGTCCAGTCTGGACTAATGTAAAAAACATGGCGACCTCCTTAGAGAGGGTCCCCTCAATGTAAATATAAAGTATTTAAATATAAAGGGTCTTTTCTAGGGTAATGAA